CTCCAGAATTATTTCGGCAATCCGTCTCATGTTTTGGATTTCAGCACGGTTTAGCTGGATGGTGATTTGACTTATGATGTGGAGCCGGTGGCTATCTTGAGGCGGCAAGTCCGGAAGTTGAGGTCAAAGGATATAGATTCAGTAAAAGTGTAGTGGAGAGGTCAGTCCGTGGAGGAGGCTACTTGGGAGACCAACCGGGATATGCGGAGCAGATATCCACACCTATTTGAAACTCCAAGTATGTTTCTAGACCCGTTCGAGGATGAACGTTTATTTAAGAGGTGGAGGATGTAACGACCCGGCCGGTCGTTTTGACAGTTGTAGCCCCGCTCCCCCATTTTCTGCTTCTTTTGTGTTCTACATCTGTACTATGACTTATCGGGTTAGTTGGTTTGGGTCCGGAGTGATTTCAGAATGAATTGAGACACTTAGTCTCTTAATTGAAAGCTTAAATTGGAAAAGTTGACCGGATATTGACTTATGTGAAAACGTTCTTGTATTTAAATTTTGATGGTTCCGTTAGCTCCATTAGGTGATTTTGGACTTAGGAACGCGTCCGGATTGTGTTTTGGAGGTCTGTAGTATAATTGGGCTTGAAATGCCAAAAGTTAGAATTTTGGAAAGTTTAACCGGGAGTTGAGTTTTTGATATCGGGGTCGGATTGGATTTCTGGAAGTCGGAGTAGGTTTGTAGTTTAATTTATGACTTGTGTGCAATATTTGAGGTCAATCAGACGTGATTTGATAGGTTTTGACGTCGTTTATAGAATTTGGAACTTTCAAAGTTCATTAGGCTTGAATCCTTGTGCAATTCGTATTTTTGATGTTGTTTGAGGTGATTTGAGGGTTCGGCTAAGTTTGAATGATGTAATGGGACTTGATGGTACGTTTGGTTGAGGTCTCGGGGGCCTCGGGTGAGTTTCGGGTGGTTAACAGATCATTTTTGGACTTTGGTTGATAGCTGATTTTTGCTGTTGTGTTTTTCTGGTTTCCTCTTACGCGTTCGCGAGAGAAGCCTCGCGTTCGTGAAGGGTGTTTGTGAGCTGGGAGATTTTTGTTCTTCGCATTCGCGAAGAAGAGACGCGAACGTGAAGGTGTGGTCTGTGTGTGCATCGCGAACGCGGGAGTGGTGTCGCGTCCGCGAAGATGAGTGAGGTAGCTGGGGACCCCCAGCGTTTTGGTCTACGCGTTCGCGAGGCATGGGTCGCGTTCGCGAAGGTCAGAGTTGATAAAGCATCGCTTCGCGAAAAGTAGGCCACGTTCACGAAGAGTTAAGCTGAGAGGCAGTCAAGTTGGTCTGCGCGAACGCAGGAGGACGTTCGCGTTCCCGAAGAAGCAAATCTAGGCAACAATATTTAATTTCAAAAACGAGGGTTTGAACCCCTTCATCGTATTTTGAGCTAGAGACCACTGATTTGGGCGATTCTTGAAGGAATTTTCGTGGAGTTGATTGCGGTAAGCTATTCTTACTTTGTTTTGGTTAAATCTCATGATTATGTCTTTAATTTCATCATATAATTTGTAAATTAGGGTTAAAAATTGGGGAAAAAGAGGAAGTATTCTTGAGTTAGATTTTTGAGGTTTTGAGTGGGATTTTGTTATTGGATTTGAGTAAATTTGGTATGGTTAGACTCGTGAGTGAATAGTCTTTCGAGTTTTGTGACTTTTGTCGGATTTTGAGACGTGAGCTCGAGGGCCGGGTTCGGGCCGATTTCGGATTTTTGGCTATGATTTAGCACTTTTCTTGTGGAATTGATCCTTTAACCTATATTGATTGTATTATACTACTTGTGGCTAGATTCGGGACGTTCGGAGACCGATTTGAGAGGCAAAGGTATTTTGGAGTAGAGTTTTGCTCGGATTGAGGTAAGTTACGCTTCCAAACTTGGTTGACGGTTCGAAATCCCGAATTATTGTTATGTGATTGGCATTGAGGTGATGCACATGCCAAGTGACGGGCGTGCGGGCGTGTACCGTGAGAATTGAGACCTGATTGATTCCGTTGCACTGTATAGTGACCCTATCTTGTTGATATCTGTGTTTTCGTCATGTGATAAAGTAATTGAGTTGTCAATTATGCTAGATATCATATTTAGGCTTTATGCCGGTACTGTTGGGACCTCTAGTGGTCATTTCTTGCTATCATCTCACTGATTTCATTGATATTTTGTACTCAGTCATGTTCATGCATTTCATATTATATCTCAGTCTCAATTGTTATTTATTGATACATCATATCATTGTTTCGAGCTAGTTTTCATGACATTGTGAGCCCGTGAGTGAGACTAGAGAGATTGATTACTAAGTGAGACCGAAAGCGTGATTATGAGTAACAGTTATGGGATCGGGTTGCATGCCGCAGCGGTTATACTGATTTTGTGATTGTGCTTAGGTTGTAGGATCCCCTCCGGAGTCTATACACACCCCCAATGAGCGCGATTGATATTATTGAGGGATGGATCTTCCCTAGACATGGATCTTGTCCGAAGTACTTGATACCTGGAGAAGGATCTTCCCATAGGGCTGGATTGGCCTTCCTCTGTATTGGGTGACCGATGGTCAGTAATATATATATTCCAGGATAGATTTTTCCTTGGCTGTATGGGCCATATATAGTACCGAGTGGTTGAGCATTTGGAGTGTGAGCACATGAGGCTGACAGCATGGTGTATCACATACAGCATGTGCATTGGCATGTAGAGATAGAAGAGTTATTTTCTTTACATTGTTTGGATCTGCTCTATTTTAGTGCTTTGACCTGCCTATTTAATTTGAAAGCATGCCTATGTTTCTGCATAGTTATTTTTATTTTATCTATACCGGTTGAGTTCGTCACTACCTTTCAGTCCAAATGTTGGACTTGTTACTTACTAAGTTAGATGTTCCACGTTACTCCCTGCACCTCATGTGCAGATCTAGGCAATTCTGGTCACAGCGGCGGTTGCTGATTGAGGCATCAGAATTCGGAAACTATCGAGGTAGCTGCATGGCGTTTGCAGGCCTTGATTCTCCTTCTTTATCTCTATTTGTATTTTAGTATTTATTCCCTAGGTACTATAGTGGATTGTATTCTGGTTTAGACGCTCATGTACTCCGTGACACCCCGGTTTTGGGTTGGATTGTATCGTATTTTGGATTATTTCTGCTTTCAAAAGGTTTTTCTTTAATATCAATGCTTCCATCTTTATTTTCAATGTTTTCTTTTTCTTTGCTGTGATGAGTTGTTAAGTAAAGGCTGGCCTAGTTCCACGATAGGCGCCATCACGACGATAGATTTTGGATCGTGACACTATATGACCATTTCTTCGCAACTGAATGAGATCTTTTACGGTATTTAGCCTCCAGGAAGTCCTTTAACATAGAAGACATGGTTCTGAAGTTCCACCAATTCTTGGCAGATAAAGCATCACAACTACTCTGTATAACTCGAAAACCAACTTAACCAAGACTATATTTTCGTTTTT